GACCACATAAAGAATATTGTGCAAGGAGCCTATGCTATGCTTTCTAACTTCAGAATTGCATTTAAATACATGGATGGCGATATACTAAAGAAATTGTTCATGACTTTTGTTAGGCCAAAGCTAGAATATGCAGCTGTTGTGTGGTGCCCATATCTTAAGAAGCACATCAACAAACTGGAAAAGGTGCAAAGACATGCTACTAAGTGGCTCCCAGAACTGAAGGGCAAGAGCTACGAGGAGAGGTTAGAAGCATTAAATATGCCAAAACTAGAAGACAGAAGAAAAAGAGGTGATATGATCACTACATACAAAATAGTAACAGGAATTGACAAAATCGACAGGGAAGACTTCCTGAGACCTGGAACTTCAAGAACAAGAGGTCATAGATTTAAACTAGCTAAACACAGATGCCGAAGAAATATAAGAAAATTCACCTTCGCAAATAGAGTGGTAGACGGTTGGAACAAGTTAAGTGAGAAGGTGGTGGAGGCCAAGACCGTCAGTAGTTTCAAAGCGTTATATGACAAAGAGTGCTGGGAAGACGGGACACCACGAGCGTAGCTCTCATCCTGTAACTACACTTAGGTAATTACACTTAGGTAATTACATAACACCCTCGACACAGGAAAACGTACCACCGAACAGGCACCTCCACTGTTGCGCCGTGGAACAAGGTGGAGGCGGGGCCCCGAACTCAAGCATGGTTAGACAAGCATAGGAGAGGGGCAGGATGAGTACAGGCAGGAGTCGCCTCGTAAGGGCCAAGAGGCCACCCGCAGTCACCCGTGAACCGAGGAAAGAATCGGGTGGTGAGAACAAGAGCTGCCACGTATGGGCCAATAGCCCTGCAGCAGGCACCTTGGTTGTTACGTTCTACGTTCTCAAGTAAGTATGTACACCCACCCCGACTTTCAAAAACAAAAACAGCGTCAGGACGAAGGAGACACCAGACCGCACCAACTCGCCTGCAGAACATAGGCACTGAAGGGCCATGATGCAAGCCTATGAGAACGTAGCCACCAGAGGCAGCCAGGGTGCCTATGCCGGAGAGGAGGAGGGGAGCTGCGAAGGAGGCTCCCCCCCACCCAAAAACACAGAGAAAAACCTCGTGACTTCCCCACAGCGGCACTCCAGAACACCCTCAAGAGCAACGGGGCACGGATTGGAGAATGATAAGAGCGAGAGGCGAAGCCCCCGATAAAATATGGACGCAGAACACCAATACGCGTGCACACCGCCCGGAACCAAAACAAACTCCCACGGCGCATGCACAGGACACGAAGAAAAGTAGCCCAACAAGGCGACAAGTAGCCCAACCGGCCGCAAGTAGCCCAACAAGGCGACAAGTAGCCCAACCGGCCGCAAGTAGCCCAACCGGCTACAAGTAGCCCAACCGGCTACAAGTAGCCCAACCGGCTACAAGTAGCCCAACCGGCTACAAGAAGGCCAACCGGCTACAAGAAGCCCAACCGGCTACAAGAAGCCCAACCGGCTACAAGAAGCCCAACCGGCTACAAGAAGCCCAACCGGCTACAAGAAGCCCAACCGGCTACAAGAAGCCCAACCGGCTACAAGTAGCCCAATCCGACCACAAGGAGCCCAATCCGGCATCCCGGACCAGAACGGAAGGAACCATTACGGAGGCAAACTCCGGGTCACTTAGGAGGGAAGCCGCAAAGGCCAACCGCACCACAAGCGAAGAGATGCGGGTAGCCGAAAACCACCGGAAGATGGAACCGAAGAAACCACAGGAACACGGAACCAAACCTGGGGAGGAGCAGAACCCAAGTCTAAATCGTACGCAGAGGGGGGAAGAGAAAACCCCACTCCTTGCAACAGTAAGCCCCGCTCAGAAGGACGGAAATCCAGGCGGGCCTAATGGAGCCCAAGGCCCCCAAGGCTGCTCATCCCCAACCCCAGGAGCCTCTACACCAGGCCCCGGGGCCGAGTCGTCCTCCAAAGCCCTGGCCTCACAAGAAAAAGCCGGGGCAGCCGAGAGAGCTGGAAGAGAAGGGGCCCACTGGTCAGACCCCGGAGCAACGGCCAGAGGAACAGACTCGAATGCCTCCGCAGCTACCCCGGACGGGGCAACCCCCAAAACTGCCCAAGTCTCAGAAACCTCTAACCCCACCCCGACCCCGAAGCTTTCAGATGCTTAGGGGCCGGAAGCAGGAGGGGGGAGAACAAAATGAACCACCGAAGGGGAAAAACAAGGGGGCGTGGACGGAACCAAGGCCAAAGTGACCAAAACCCCCAAGTCTGGGTGACTTGTGGAAGGCAACCCCAAGCCCCAAGGGCGGTACTTACAGGGCACTCAGGGAAGGTGACCCTAAGCACATGCAGCCCGAGTACCTGAGAATACCATTCCCAGCTCACACGACCACCGTAAGAGCAGCACTGAGACAAAACCGGAGCTGGAGCCACACGACCATGTACTATCCCATCAGCCGAGGAACTGGGGCGGGGATCGCCAGTGCTGGGGTCTGGGGCTTCCCCTTCCCCCTCCCGGGGAGGAGGGAGCTCCGCAGACATGCGGCGCGGCTCGTGTGACGTCATGCTTGTTTGTTCGTTTTTCTTGGGAAGTTCTATCCACTCGTTTGTCGATTTTCATTGTTAACCAGAATAGGGGTTTGTTTTGTGGCGCTTACCTTTCTAGGTGCTTGTCCCGGTCGATGGCAGATGTAGAATGCTCCAAATCACATGTGCATTTCTATGGGCCATTGCTCCCCGTGCCTCTGTGAGGGGGGCCAGGTTCTGGCTCGTGGGTCACCGGTAAGCCTAGAAGTCCACCCACATCGACTGATGCAAAATAGTTAGGGTACCCATATCAGCCATAGATAGCTCCGGGGAGCCGTAGGGGCTCCCCCCAGAAAAATTGGAAAATGTTTGTGCAAGTTTTAAAAACTTATGTTACATTATTTTTTGTCAAATCATATATGTATGTATTGCATGGTCTAAGGGTTAAGGTGCTCAAATTCGCCTCCGAGGTAAACCTGCAGAATGGTAGAAGTTTCTCACCACTCAAGCGTGTGGGTCCGACAGAACCCATGACACGCCCCCAATGAAAAGAACGGGCAGTCTGCCAGCCAGGAAGACTCCAGAACCTCCAAACGCACCCAATATGGGGAAGAAGAACTGAACTCAAACCTCTGGAAGGAAGGAGCCGAGAAACCCAAGGGAACACGGAACCAAACCCGGGGAGGAGCTGACCGCAAATCATACCCATTCAGGGAAGGGGAGTAAGAAAACCCCCTTCTCCCTGCAACAAGAAGCCCCGCAAAGAGGGTACCAATACCCAAGCGAGAGGTCAAAGAGTGCCCAAGGCCCTCAGGTCAACTCCTCCCCAGCCCCGGGATCCCCCAAGTCAGGACCCGGGGCAGAGCAATCCTCCATACCCTCAACTCCTGAAGAAAAGGCATTGTCCAGGGGAAAGGCAGAAAAGAATAGGGGCCCCTGCTGGTGGGACCCAGAAGCCTAGGAAGGGGAAACCGACTCGAATGCCTCCATCCCCAACCTGAACGGGGAAGCCCCTGAAGCTGCCAGAGTCTCATTACCAACTAAACCCTGCCCTGATCCCGAGACCTTTAGACATTTGGAGCCGGAAGCTGGGAAGGGAGGGAGCAGGATGATCCTTCCCCTGCAACAGGGTAAGGACCAGGGAGCGCGGACTGAACCAAAGTTGAAGCGACTAATGCCCCCATGTCCAGGTCCTTATAACCAAAGCGGTGCAATGGTGGGGCATTCGGGTGGGAAACCAACCTAGTGCATTGCAGCAACCTAAACGTATCATGCAATGCAGATGCTGCCTGAACCCTAAACCTTCAAACCCACACAAGGTGGGCTGAAACTCGGAAGACGCATCCATAGGTCCACCGAGCCCTGACAGGATTTTCCAGGGCCTGTAGGCTGACTGCTATGGGAAGCCCGGGCAAGGTATTGCTAACCGGTAAAGACCCCAAAGCTCACAAGGGGGGAGAGCAAAACCCTGAAACCCCTGCGACATGTGTAATCATGGGGGCCTAGCAGAGGGCCACCAACATATTTTAAGTGGAACTATAGCCACACCAGGCAGACCTCCACCAGGCAAGTTGAAAACAAAAACAAAAGAAAAACCCCGCAAAAGTACGTCCCCAGAAGAAACAGGAACTAGCCGCCGCATAGGTAGGCAGGCTGCACAACACCTTGACGCCCCAATCAGTACGATACCAATCCCAACCCAAGGCCAAGCAGGGGCCACGAAACCCCAGCTGGCCCCCAAGGCGGGGTAAGTGCGGAGCTATGCGGCGATGGAGTGTGACGTTTGCTTGTTTGTTTGCTTCCTTAGGATTGGAGGGCGTTCTACCTCTCTGTTCGGCTTTTGGTTATATTTTTCTTACCATGTGTGGTCTGTTTTGTTATGCCTACCTTTCTAGGTGCCTAACTCTGGTCGATGGCAGATAAGGTTAACCCCCAACCACAGGGAAGGGGGTTTTCCAGGGCCCTCCCTGCACACCTCTAAGCGGGCCATATTCTGGCTAGTGGTCCTCAGTAGGCAGAACTCCATAGAATAATGCCCCGGTCTGATGATTCGCACATTAGGCCGATAGCTCCAGGGAGCCGAAGGGGCTCCACACAGAAAATACTATTTTCAGGGAACCACTATTTGACTCCTCCAGAAAATACTGTATCATAATTAACATAAAAGCTGAGAGAATAGTTAAAGATATTTTGGATGTTGTAGTTCTTAGGTTAAGGGTGTTGGGGATTTTATGTATTATACCTAAATATTACAGTCTAGATGAAGAACATGGTAGTCAATCTTATTAACACAAGTTTTCAAGGTAACTGAGTACAATATCTGATTATTACTTCTATTTTCATCACTCAAGATTATAGTTCAACTGACTTTGCACCCAAAGCCCTCATAAATTTTACTGTACTGTACTGTATTTACAAAGATGAGTGTTACTTTCATTTTCGTAATCAATTTTTTCATAACAGAACTATATCTTGCCACTGACCTGAGCAACAAGTTTATACTTTCCTGGTATTATTTTTGTTTCGACATCATCAACTTGGTAATTAAATAAAGCAGCATCCCTTGCTGCCTCCCATTTTTTCAGTAATAATGAATCAAATGGAGACATTTTATCTAGCCCATGTTCACTGCTTGTTGTGTATATAAAGTCTTTGTTAGAATATTTGAACATGAAGTCACGAGTCATATCCACGTCGTTATTAAACATAACCTGCAATTAGAAAGACCATCAATAACCTGAACTAGATCAATATTTGAAATACTGTACATAAATTGAATTACTGAATGCATCTAATTAATTTTTGAACAACTATCTCATGTAAGGCGTATTTCCCATTCCAAAATATTTTGAAAGAAAATCAATTAATTGGAAATCTTAAAAAACCTTTAAACTTTAATTCTTTTCATTAGCTATAAGAATTAACCATTAAATATAGTATCATAAACACTTAGTTAAATGCTTTTTAAGAGACAAATTTATCCTAAAAAATATTTTTAATACACAAAGAACTCACACTAATGTGATGTATACTATTGAGAAAATTAATTGGAGCAATGAGGTGACTGGAACCAGCGATCAAGGTACTCTCAGCCATGCACCTTACCTCTGTACCATGATATAATGGTACAGAGGTAAGATGCACGGCTGGAAGTACTCTGATCGCTGGTTCCTGTTATCTTTTAGCCCAACCACTTGGGCTGGATGGTAAAGCGACGGTCTCCCTTCATGCAGGTCGGCGTTCAATCCCCGACCGTCCAAGTGGTTGGGTAAGATTCCCTTCCCCCCATCCCATTCCAAATCCTTATCCTGACCCCTTCCAAGTGCTATATAGTCATAATGGCTTGGGGCCATTATGCTCCAACTGATTTTCTAAATGTTTTTAATACTGAATATATATTATAATAGCTTCAATATATTATTAATAATGGTAATCATCAATGAACACTTCCCTAATGACCAACAGTATCAAAAGCTTTGCACAAGTCAAAGAATATTATGTATTCTTTTCCAGTTGGTCGAGGGAAACCCCCGCAGAGATGGTCGAGAGAGAGCCCCGCAGAGGTGGTCGAGGGAGAGCCCCACCGAGGTGGTCGAGGGAGAGCCCCGCAGAGGTGGTCAAGGGAGAGCCCCGCAGAGGTGGTCAAGGGAGAGCCCCGCCGAGGTGGTCGAGGGAAAGCCCCGCAGAGGTGGTCGAGGGAGAACCCCGCCGAGGTGGTCGAGGGAGAGCCCCGCACAGATGGTCGAGGGAGAGCCCCGCAGAAGTGGTCAAGGGAGAGCCCCGCAGAGGTGGTCAAGGGAGAGCCCCGCCGAGGTGATCGAGGGAGAGCCCCACAGAGGTGGTCGAGGGAGAACCCCGCCGAGGTGGTCGAGGGAGAGCCCCGCACAGATGGTCAAGGGAGAGCCCCGCAGAGGTGGTCAAGGGAGAGCCCCGCAGAGGTGGTCGAGGGAGAGCCCTGCCGAGGTGGTCGAGGGAGAGCCTCGCAGAGGTGGTCGAGGGAGAGCCCCGCAGAGGTGGTCGAGGGAGAGCCCCGCCGAGGTGGTCGAGAGAAAGCCCCACCGAGGCGGTCGAGGGAGAGCCCCACCGAGGCGGTCGAGGGAGAGCCCCACCGAGGCGGTCGAGGGAGAGCCCCACCGAGGCGGTCGAGGGAGAGCCCCACCGAGGCGGTCGAGGGAGAGCCCCACCGAGGCGGTCGAGGGAGAGCCCCACCGAGGCGGTCGAGGGAGAGCCAGATCCAGATGAACAGCTCACTATAGTAACAGACTATGTCACTGGCCAAAAGTAGAGGTAGGTAAGGCAAGATAAATAACTCTGAGAAGGCATAAAACAGTATAACTACACTGTACAATTATGATATGAGGAGAGGATTTGAACTGGGATAAGTTAGGATATGAGGATTAAACATTGCAACAGTGTGGACTAACATCTGAGTCAATGATCAGGGTGAGGGAGGGCCACACTAACCCACCGTGCCAGTGACCAGGGTGAGGGAGGGCCACACTAACCCACCGTGCCAGTGACCAGGGTGAGAGAGGGCCACACTAACCCACCGTGCCAGTGACCAGGGTGAGGGAGGGCCACACTAACAGTGACCAGGGTGAGGGAGGGCCACACTAACCCACCGTGCCAGTGACCAGAGAGAGGGAGGGCCACACTAACCCACCGTGCCAGTGACCAGGGTGAGGGAGGGCCACACTAACCCACCGTGCCAGTGACCAGAGAGAGGGAGGGCCACACTAACCCACCGTGCCAGTGACCAGGGTGAGGGAGGGCCACCCTAACCCACCATGACATTGACCAAGTTGAGGGAGGGCCACACTAACCCACCGTGCCAGTGACCAGGGTGAGGGAGGGCCACACTAACTCACTGTGCCAGTGACCAGGGTGAGGGAGGGCCACACTAACCCACCGTGACAGTGACCAGGGTGAGGGAGGGCCACACTAACCCACCATGACAGTGACCAGGGTGAGGGAGGGCCACACCAACAGTGACCAGGGTGAAGGAGGGCCACACTAACCCACCGTGACAGTGACCAGGGTGAGGGAGGGCCACACTAACTCACCGTGACAGTGACCAGGGTGAGAGAGGGCCACACTAACCCACCGTGACAGTGACCAGGGTGAGGGAGGGCCACACTAACAGTGACCAGGGTGAGGGAGGGCCACACTAACAGTGACAAGGGTGAGGGAGGGCCACACTAACCCACCCTGCCAGTGACCAGGGTGAAAGAGGGCCACACTAACCCACCGTGACAGTGACCAGGGTGTGGGAGGGCCACACTAACAGTGACCAGGGTGAGGGAGGGCCACACAAACCCACCGTGACAGTGACCAGGGTGAGGGAGGGCCACACTAACCCACCGTGACAGTGACCTGGGTGAGGGAGGGCCACACTAACCCACCGTGACAGTGACCAGGGTGAGGGAGGGCCACACCAACAGTGACCAGGGTGAAGGAGGGCCACACTAACCCACCGTGACAGTGACCAGGGTGAGGGAGGGCCACACTAACTCACCGTGACAGTGACCAGGGTGAGGGAGGGCCACACTAACCCACCGTGACAGTGACCAGGGTGAGGGAGGGCCACACTAACAGTGACCAGGGTGAGGGAGGGCCACACTAACAGTGACAAGGGTGAGGGAGGGCCACACTAACCCACCCTGCCAGTGACCAGGGTGAAAGAGGGCCACACTAACCCACTGTGACAGTGACCAGGGTGTGGGAGGGCCACACTAACAGTGACCAGGGTGAGGGAGGGCCACACAAACCCACCGTGCCAGTGACCAGGGTGAGGGAGGCCAACACTAACTCAGTGACAGTGACCAGGGTGAGGGAGGGCCACACTAACTCACCATGACAGTGACCAGGGTGAGGGAGGGCCACACTAACTCACCGTGACAGTGACCAGGGTGAGGGAGGGCCACACTAACTCACCGTGACAGTGACCAGGGTGAGGGAGGGCCACACTAACTCACAATGACAGTGACCAGGGTGAGGGAGGGCCACACTAACCCACCGTGACAGTGACCAGGGTGAGGGAGGGCCACACTAACTCACCATGACAGTGACCAGGGTGAGGGAGGGCCACACTAACTCACCGTGACAGTGACCAAGGTGAGGGAGGGCCACACTAACTCACCATGACAGTGACCAGGGTGAGGGAGGGCCACACTAACTCACCGTGACAGTGACCAGGGTGAGAGAGGGCTACACTAACCCACAATGACAGTGACCAGGGTGAGGGAGGGCCACACTAACCCACCGTGACAGTGACCAGGGTGAGGGAGGGCCACACTAACTCAACGTGACAGTGTCCAGGGTGAGGGAGGGCCACACTAACTCACCATGACAGTGTCCAGGGTGAGGGAGGGCCACACTAACTCACCATGACAGTGTCCAAGATGAGGGAGGGCCACACTAACCCACTGTGCCAGTGACCAGGGTGAGGGAGGGCCACACTAACAGTGACCAGGGTGAGGGAGGGCCACACTAACAGAAACCAGGGAGAGGGAGGGCCACACTAACAGTGACCAGGGTGAGGGAGGGCCACACTAACCCACCATGACAGTGACCAGGGTGAGGAAGGACCACACTAACAGTGACCAGGGTGAGGGAGGGCCACACTAACTCACATTGACAGCGACCAGGGTGAGGGAGGGCCACACTAACCCACTGTGACAGTGACCAGGGTAAGGGAGGACCTCACTAACAGTGACTAGGGTGAGGGAGGGCCACACTAAGTGACCAGGGTGAGGAAGGGCCACACTAAACCACTGTGCTAGTGACCAGAGTGAGGGAGGGCCACACTAACCTATCATGCCAGTGACCAGGGTGAGGGAGGGCCACACTATCCCAGTGACAGTGACCAAGGTGAGGGAGGGCCACACTAAGAGTGACCAGGGTGAGGGAGGGCCACACTAACCCACCGTGCCAGTGACGAGAGTGAGGGAGGGCCACACTAACCCACCGTGCCAGTGACCAGGGTGAGGGAGGGCCACACTAACTCACCATGACAGTGTCCAGGGTGAGGGAGGGCCACACTAACTCAACGTGACAGTGACCAGGGTGAGGGAGGGCCACACTAACTCACCATGACAGTGTCCAGGGTGAGGGAGGGCCACACTAACTCACCATGACAGTGTCCAGGGTGAGGGAGGGCCACACTAACTCACGGTGATAGTGTCCAAGATGAGGGAGGGCCACACTAACCCACTGTGCCAGTGACCAGGGTGAGGGAGGGCCACACTAACAGTGACCAGGGTGAGGGAAGGCCACACTAACAGAAACCAGGGTGAGGGAGGGCCACACTAACAGTGACCAGGGTGAGGGAGGGCCACACTAACCCACCATGACAGTGACCAGGGTGAGGAAGGACCACACTAACAGTGACCAGGGTGAGGGAGGGCCACACTAACTCACATTGACAGCGACCAGGGTGAGGGAGGGCCACACTAACCCACTGTGACAGTGACCAGGGTAAGGGAGGACCACACTAACAGTGACTAGGGTGAGGGAGGGCCACACTAAGTGACCAGGGTGAGGAAGGGCCACACTAAACCACTGTGCTAGTGACCAGAGTGAGGGAGGGCCACACTAACCTATCATGCCAGTGACCAGGGTGAGGGAGGGCCACACTAACTCAGTGACAGTGACCAAGGTGAGGGAGGGCCACTCTAAGAGTGACCAGGGTGAGGGAGGGCCACACTAACCCACCGTGCCAGTGACGAGAGTGAGGGAGGGCCACACTAACCCACCGTGCCAGTGACCAGGGTGAGGGAGGGCCACACTAACCCACCGTGACAGTGACCAGCGTAAGGGAGGGCCACACTAACCCACCGTGCCAGTGACCAGGGTGAGGGAGGACCACACTAACCCACCGTGACAGTGACCAGGGTGAGGGAGGACCACACTAACCCACCGTGACAGTGACCAGGGTGAGGGAGGACCACACTAACCCACCGTGCCAGTGACCAGGGTGAGGGAGGACCACACTAACCCACCGTGACAGTAACCAGGGTGAGGGAGGACCACACTAACCCACCGTGACAGTGACCAGGGTGAGGGAGGGGCCACACTAACCCACCGTGCCAGTGACCAGAGTGAGGGAGGGCCACGGGAGCTTTGCCACGGCCCGCGCTGCCACGTTTGTTTACATGACGTCATCGTCTCCCACTGGGTGCTGTCTTATTTATTTATTTATTTATTTATTTATTTATTTATTTATTTATTTATTTATTTATTTATTTATTTTCATATAAGAAGGCATATTGGGGGTTAAGAGAGTACATAGGAATGAAGATTTTATATTCTTGTAAAACCACTAGCACGCATATAGCGTTTCGGCAATTTGTAGCGAAATTGATAAATGTTTGACAAAGATTAGTATATAAATTATAATAAAATTTGAGGTTATTCAACAGGTACATTGTAGCATAATTTGAGGATTATTTCTAGGTATAATCCTTTAAAATATGCGTTCAGTATGACAACCATGATATAAGACTGCTGAGTTTGATCTTGGCGCGCGGATTGAACGCTCCTGGCTTTACTTTCTTTCCACACCTTACCTGGAACTCATCTTTGAATTCAGCTGGCTTCTTTGGGCCAGTGTGGGCTCACTGCAGCTACCCAGGGGCTCACAGGACCGGGGGAGGCCGGAGCCTCCCTAATGGACGCCTCCCCGAGCGGGGGCGCCATGGATGTTGACAGCAAGTCCCAGAGAGGAAAACGTCTGCTGGAAAATGAGTCGGCTGATGCTGCCCCAGAGCGAGACGCTAAGAGGATGTCTTCCCCTTCAGAAGACCTTAGTCTTGTGGTACCCCGTTCCTCGTTTGTGGTAGTCCTAATCCAGTCAGAATCAGGTCAGTGCGTCTTTGCAAATCCTCGTACCTTAATTAGGTGCAGCAATCGAGGCTTCCGTATTGTGGCCACATTGCCTGCCTGAGACCATGCGTACCCTGGGTAGGGGTGCAGCACTGAAGCTACATATTAGAAAGGAGGCTCTATCACACATCTGTGTATCCGACATTATTAAGTTGGGGGACTGGCCTGTCAGGTGCCGACAGGTATTGTCGCAGGAGGAGGAGTCTCGGGCCCGGTATGGGAAGATTGGCCCAATTGACCAGAGTGTAGATGTGGATGACATCCAGGCCGCTCTGCAGGTATTAGGGGGTGCATCAGCGAGATTATTGGAAGTTACCAGGATTCGCGGAGCAGCAGGGCCGACATCCATGGTCCGTGTAAAGTTCGATGGGCACCTCCCTGACCGAGTAGCACTACACAGGACCTCGTATCAGGTTCAGCCCTACAATTTCCCTGTTTTACGATGTTACGCTTGTCATCTATTGGGCCACAGTCGCCTGACCTGCCGTAATACAGCACGTTGTGCAAACTGCGGCAAAACAGGCCATTCAGACAGAGATAACGGTGGGTGCTCTGCTGCACCTCGCTGCTTTTTATGCCATGGCCATCATAAGGTTACGTCTAAGAGTTGCCCTGTATATCTTGAGGCCCTCCAGTTGGACATCGATCATAAAACAGCGGGGACACCTCGACATGAGCTGTTCCAGAAGTTGCGCACCCTCAATCAGCCTATCGCTTCTTCTCGCCTCCAGGTTCCCCCTGGTCGGGCCTCTTCACAAGTAGGAACTAGCAGACGCTCTTGCCTGTCCCAGTCACATGCCACATACGCCCAGGTTGCTAATCGATTTTCCCTCCTGGGTAGCCTTGACATTGACGGAAACTCATCCACGGATACAGACATGGACGCTCAGTCTCGGCCGGAGCCTAGCACTCGTCACCCTCCTGCCTTTCCTCAAAGAAGCCAACACCGGCGTCGTCGACACACCCATCGATCAGGAGGTTCTGCTCCAACAGACAGCCCTGATGATCCTCTGGTCCCCCAGGCACTTTCCCAAGGGATTGTGACACCGGGGGAACATGAGGTTACCTTGAGGTGCTTCCGGGGCTTAGCGTCCCCGCGGCCCGGTTGTCGACCAGGCCTCCTGAGGCCCAGAGTGAGGCTCCCACCAGTCGCAGACGCCGTCAAGAGAGTTCGCGAGCCGACCACTGCTTCCGTCAGGCAGAGAGAAGCATAGATCAACATCCTCTTGACTGGAAGTCATTGATACCACACATTTTACTTACTTTGTATGAGGGTTTTATGGCCTTTTTTAGTGGTTCCCCCTTTGGAGACGTTTGTGGTGGTCAAAAAGTTAGCTGTTGTATTTCAGGGATAATGGCGCCCCATCCTGAGAATACTGTGGTGTTTTGGAATGCCCGCTCCCTTTTTAAGAAGACGCAATTTCTACGCAATTTTATCGCCAGCGCACCACCGTTGATCGTGGGACTCTGTGAGACTTGGCTTACAGACGATCTTTCCTTCACAGTGCCGGGGTATTCTGTCTATAGACAAGATCGGCCAGTACGGGGTGGAGGGGGACTTGCCCTCTTGGTCAGGGACTCAGTTCCCAGCTCCTTGCTCCGGATTCACTCCTTCCCGGGTGGACATTTATAATTCATGGCAGTGAAGGTCGCCCTCTCCCATGGGTGGGGCACCTTTGGAGTTCTGTATAACCCCTGTCTACCGGTAACGAAGAAGGAACTAGAACACTATTTTGGTCAGATCACAGACACCTGCCTCGTCATGGGTGACTTTAACGCTCGGCACTCATCATGGCAACCCATGCTATCGGGTCGCCACCACAACATGGCTGGCCGAGCCCTATTTCAGTTTCTCCTTGACTCCCCAGACCTCTCCTTACTGACGCCGCCAGTTTTGGGAACTCGGATAGACCCGCTAAATGGCCATACTTCAACACTCGATCTTTGCATTGGAAGAGGCCCCTTCACGATGGCGCAGATATGGACCGGGCCGTACCTGGGTAGTGATCACCTGCCCATCGTCATCTCCTTCGGGGGCACTGTTCGTCCTGCTCTGACCTCCCGTAGATCCAAATGGATCTTCTCGGAAGAGGGGTGGCATGGCTATGAGGTGGATGACTGGTTGACCCTTCCCCCAGTTACTGCAGATCTCCATGGGTCAGCAGATGCTCTCTCCGAGTCCCTCTTCAGTGTAGGCTCTCGTCACTTCAGGAGGACTAGTGGCCAGACAACCAATCCTTCCCGCTGTGGGGCACCGTGGTGGACTCCTGAATGTCGGCAGGCAGTACTGGACCGGCGACGTGCGTGGAATTCGTGGCGGCGCCACCCTACTCCACTGCAGCGGCAGACCTTCCGCAGGGCGGACGCCAGGTGTAGACAAACAGTCCTCCTTGCCAAACGCAAGGCCTGGGCTGATTACTGTGCCTCTCTCCGATTCGACTCCTTCTCTGCGGGAGCCTGGGCCTTTGTTCGTAAGATGACAGGTAGGTACTCCCGGCCTACCATCCCACTCAGAGACCCCAGTGGTAATGGGGGCCTAGGGGGAAGTACAAATAGCCGAACTCTTGGCTGACCACTTTGAAGATGTTTACCGTTCCCCGCTCCTCTCTGTGAGTTCCATAGGTTGGGGCTCCCGACAGGGTATAGGACTAGCTCAGGACCTGGATCGCCCATTTACATCTGTTGAGCTGAAGGACGCTCTGTCACTCTCTAGGTCGGGCACTATGCCAGGGATAGACAACGTCCCATATGAATTTGTTCGGAGGGCACCCAAGAACTTTCAGTCCCACCTCCTTTACTTCTACAACGCCTGCTGGTCCTCTGGTGTCTTCCCTGCCCCGTGGAAACACGCCATTCATTCTTCTACCATTGGCCAAGTCAGGGAAGGATCCGTCTGTCTCGACTTCATATCGGCCCATAAGTTTGCTTCCATGTCTCGGGAAACTGATGGAACGTCTTGTTCACACCCGGCTACAATGGGGGGTGGAAATCAGTGGATTTCGGCCGGGAAGAAGCACGATGGACTGCCTCCTCTCCTTGGAACATCGAATAATGGACACTTATCGCCGGAGAAGAGTGCTCCTTGCAGCATTCTTCGATGTCAAGAGTGCATTTGACTCTGCTTCTCATTCTGCTGTCCTTCAGAGTCTGGCTCTACTAGGTTTCTCGGGTCCGGCGTTAAGGTGGTTCCAAAACTATCTACAGGGCCGCTCATTCAAAGTGGCGGTTGGTGGAGTCGTCTCTACGTCCCGCCCTGTCTCGCGTGGTGTCCCTCAGGGAGCGATTCTGAGCCCACTACTATTCTCTATTCTGTCTGATCTCCCTGTATTCCGGGGGGTCCAGGTTTTAGCCTATGCCGATGATGTAACCCTCGTGGCGGATGGTGACACTCCTAGAGGCACAAGGCTCCCTGCAAAATGCCGTGACTGTGTTCTCAGCAATTGTGCTGGGGAAGGGGCTCTCCATTAACCCTGTGAAAAGTTGCGTCATGAGCTTCACCTGGACCCGCTTACCAGACCAGCCAGTGGTGACCCTCGGGGGCTGTCGTCTCCCGATCGCTACCGAACACAGGTAGCTGGGGGTCGTTCTAGATAGCACTCGGCTGACGTGGAGGCATCATGTCGACTACCTTCGGGCCTCATGCCTTCGTCGCGTGAACATCATGAAACGGGTCTCTGGTGCGGCTTGGGGGGCTTCACGGGAGTCGCTCCTAGCTCTCTACAAGGCCTTCATTCGTAGCAAGATCATGTATGCGAGTGAAGTCTATGGCTCAGCAGCAGCATCTGTCTTGTCAAGGCTGGATCCCATTCAAAATGGTGCCCTTCGCTCAGCGTTAGGAGCTATGCCCTCCTCGCCAGTTCTTTCTCTCCATGCCGAGTCGGGGCTATGGCCCCTGAGCTTTCAACGTCTTCTCGCCCACTGCCGCCAACTTCAACGGATAGTGCGTCTCCCTGCTACCCATCCACTTACTCGCCTCCAGCTCGAGGCTAACTGGTGGAATGTGCCGGCTGGACACTCCAGACGCCGTCAGTTGCCTTTCGTCGTTCGGGCCTTGGATGCATATTCAGTTTTCCCTTCCCGTCCCTGTACTCACCCCTGGCCCGATCATCTCACCGGTGCCTCCGTGGGCAGAAGAGATCATTCGAGTTTCTGTCGACTTTTCCAAGCCTCCTCGTCGGAAGAGAGAGTTAGAGGGTTTGGCTCCTTTAATTTTTGCAGACCTACGAGCCTCCTTATACTCTGGATACTTAGAGGTTTACACGGATGGGTCCCGCAAAGATCA